TTCCGAAACCTTCGGGAAACCATCAATTTTGGCCTCCCGGGGGTCTCTTGGGAGTGTTCCTGGAAGCGTCCGGAGCCATGTTGGAGGCCTCCCGAAACCTCTACCACGTGCTTCGGCGACATGGGTCGAAGATGGGAACCATTCCTGGTGCTGAAACAGCACCAGGGTCCGTCCAGAGCCGCTCGGGAGACGCCCCGGAGCGGCTCTGGAGAGGCCCGGGGGGGGGTCCCACCATGGCGAGTCGAGGCACCTGGCCAGAGGCCCCCGGCCCCGTACCCCTTCATATATATATATATATATATATATATATATATATATTTACATATGTGTAAATTGATGTGTTGTTGGTAATGATGTTGTGTGCGTGTGTATGATGTCTTTTGCCGCTTGGGTATCCGACTTTTTGGCGGGGGGAACAGCGACGGAGCTGTGAGGACAAAACCTGCGTACGGCCTCGAGAAACACACTCTCGGTGGCGCTGTCTCGCGTGCGCGCATCCCTGGGGGAACAGAAAAGTCCCGATACCGCTACCCCCCAGACCTTAGACGAAATCCAAAAGGCCGCGGCGTTGTTTGTTGTCAATATCGACGTCGCCTTTCCGTTTTGGGGTTCGTTGTTTCCTGAGTTTGGGATTCTCCGTCGCGCCGTTGTCGTTTCGGCTCAGCGCTGTACTACCGTTATGTTTTCCTTTCTGGTTGGCCAGAAACCGAACATTTGAAAACGGTACGCCAACGCCCCCTGCGTTTTTAGCATCAACTAAGCCCCAGACCTCTCCCAGGGTTCGTCCTTACCAGAATTTCGAGGCGAATCCAGCTGTGGCGACGACAACACTCCAGGACGAGTAGCGGTATGTAGGTGCCTTGTTCTCCTCTGACTGGTCCTTGCCCCCCTCTTCGACGCCCCCGAGTCGCTGTGACTCCAGGCGCCACCTCGGCATCCAAAAAACATGGTGCCATCCCACTTCTACTTCCGCCGCAAGCCTTCCGCAAGCCTTCCGCCGGCCCCCGCCCGCGGACACACCGCCGTTTTACTTCCGCCGAGGGCGATCATGCGCTGGTGGCAAGTGGAGGAAAGGAAGGAAAACTAGGACCAAGACTGAGCGCGGCAATATAGGTGCCGAGCTGGGTCACCGTCCATGTTGGTCATCGTCAACTGGTGGGTCATCCTTGCGAACCAGCGACAATCAGCAAGAACCAGAACTAAGATCGGCGTCGACAAGATCCCGCGACATCTTGGTCATGGTCATGATTTGACTTCCGCCAGCCTTCCGCCAAGGGCGAGGATGCACCGAACAGGTCGGAGGCGTCGGACGCCCCCAACTCGCTCTTGCCCGGGCGCCACCTGGTTGATTCTGGAAGCCCTGCATCCCAAAATGTCACGATATCAATATCCTCCCCTATTATGTCTCTGTGTGTTTCGCTGATTCTCCAATCAGTGCTTGCACTTATAGGTTCTCACTTTTTCTGTCTCAGGGAACTGGACTCGTGTATCGGATCCGCCGCCTTGTTGTCACCGTCGCCACCCGTCGTCTGGGCTCGTTGTTCGGGTCCGCCTTCTTGCCGCCGTCGCCGCGTCGTCACCACCCGTCGTCTGGGCTCGTTGTTCGGGTCCGCCGCCCTGTTGCCGCCGTCGCCGCCCCGTCGCCGACCGTCGTCTGGGTTCGTTTGTCGGAACCGCCGCCTTGTTGCCGCCGTCGCCGCCTCATCGCCGCCTCGTCGCCGCCCGTCGGCTAGGCTCGTTTGTCGGGTCCGACGCCTTATTGCCGCCGTCGCAGCTCCGTTGCCGCCTCATCGCAGGCCGTCGTCTGGGCTCGTTGTTCGGATCCGCCTCCCTGTTTCCGCCATCGCCATCCAGTCGCCACCCCATCCCCGCCTTGTCGCCGCCCGTCGTCTGAGCTCGTTAGTTGGGTCCGCAGCCTTGTTGCCGTCTCGTCGCCACCCGTCGTCTGGGCTCGTTTGTCGAGACCGCCGCCTTGTTGCCGCCGTCGTCGCCCCGTCGACAAGTCGTCGCCGCCCGTCGTCTGGGCTCGTTTGTCGGGTCCTCCGCCTTGTTGCCGCCGTCGCCGCCTCGTCGCCTTGTCGCTGCAACAAGGACTGCACCACCTGATTGCATCCCAGCGCCACAAGGATTGCACCACAGATGCTGCTCCAGCTAGACTGCAACGCATCGATTGCAAGAAACACATGGTGCGGGGCCCACGCTGACAATCATTGGTAAACGCATCGTCTTCTCAGTGTTCCGGCCCCGCCTCTGCAGGTCGGCGTCGGACAGCTGGTCCAGCGCCTCCCACTCGCGGCCCCCGGCGTCGATCCGCACCACCGTGCCGCGGGACCCCCTGCTCGCGAGCTGCGAGGGCAGCAGCGCCACCGTGGCGGAGCCGTGCGAGAGCTCGAGCTCGGCGCCACGCGAAACTGAGAACGTCCGGGGGCGCCCAGGAGGGGAAACATCGCATTGGAATCGGCGATGCGTCGCCGATCGATCGGCGACGTGCCCCCGATAGCGAATCCACACGTCCCTGGGCGGGGGGGGGGGCGATCGGGCCCTTATCGGCGATGAATGGGCGATTCGAGGTCGATGCCCCCGCCTCCGTGAACAGATCCCCCCTGTCCTTGCCTCTGACAAGAGGGGCTGGTCCCACAACGGCCGGCTCGGACGAAAGGTTAGGTCGGGCATGTCCTCCTACAGGGCGGATTTTGGACGAAGAATAAAAACAGTCAGACATAGTGAAAATTATCAGCAAATACAAAAGGGGCATGGTCAGGGGTGGGGGGCGAGTCGGCTCACGCAGCTGGTCTTCCCAACGCCTGAAGTGCTACTGCATCGAGGAACACGCCCGGCGGCGGTGCGGCCCAAACCGGCTGCATGCGGCTTGTGTCGTACCCCCCCTTCCCCAATGCCCCGCCCCCTTCGTCCGATCCGAACCGGGACTGGGAAGGGATGCTTTGCCATCCCCTCCCGAAGCCCCCTTCAGACCATAACTGGGCCTTCAGTCGGCCCCTCCTTCGCTCCCTCCTCTCCCTCACCACCCTCCTCGTCATCCATCTTCCTCCTGCGTCTCCTCCTCCACAACCCCCCTCCCCCCTCTCCTCCTCCTCCTCCTGCTCCTCCTCATCCTCCTCCTCCTCCTCCTCCTGCTCCTCCTCCTCCTCCTGCTCCTCCTCCTCCTCCTCCTCCTCCTCCTCCTGCTCCTTCTCCTCCTCCTCCTGCTCCTCCTCCTCTCCTCCTCCTCCTCCTCCTCATCCTCCTCTTTCTCCTCATTCTCCTCCCTCCTGCCGATTCTCCTCCTCCTCCTCCTCCTCCTCCTCCTCCTCCTCCTCCCTCCTCCTCCTCCTCCTCCTCCTCATATTCCATGTCACCATCCTCCCCCTTTCCCTTCTACTCATCCTGCCTTGCCGTCCCTATTCTTGCCCACTCCTGCTCCTCCTGCGCCTCCTACCCCGCCTCTTCCCCACACCCTGATCCTCCTTCTCCTCCTCACATTCCCCCTCGTCCTTCTCCTTTCCCTAATCATTTTCCTCTCTCCCCCCCCCCTCCACCTGCTGCTGCCTGCTGCTCCTCCTCCGGCTCCTCCTGCTCCTCTTGCCCCTTCGGCATCATGCTCCTCAGCCTGTTCCTCCTGCACTCATCGCGTCCCTGCTTGGGCTGCTACGCTTAGATCTGCACCTCCTCCTCCTCCTCCTCCTCCGCCTCCTCCTCCTGCTCCTCCACCCCCATCTCCCTCTCGCACCCCCATCTTATTCCTACTACATAATTTGACCATCATCATTCTGATCCTCCTGCTCCAGCTCTGGCTGCAGCTGCTGGTCCTGACTCAGACGCGCCGCCCGCGCCTTCTCCCACTCCCGCGCCCTCTCCTGCGCCTGCTGCACCTGCACCTGCCCTCGCCAGCTCCTGCCCTTGCGCCTGCTCCTGCTGCTGCGCTCGTTCGCGCTCCCGCTCGCCCCGGCCGTTCCCCGCTTCTTCCTCCTTCTCCTCCTCCTCCTGCTCCTCCTTCTCCTCCTCGTCCTCCTCCTCGCCGAATCTTCTTCTGCCCCACGCTGCTCCTCGTTCTCCTGCTGGTCCCTGCGTTCGTTGTCGCCCCGTGTTGGCCCTCTCTCTCAAACTTCTCCACCTCCCAGTTGTGCCTCCTGCCGCCCTCCCTCAATTCCTGTCCACGTTTCCCACTTTGCCCTCTCCCCAGGGTGCGCTGAAGAGGGGACCCCAGACGAGGGGGTTAGCGCATCCTGGCCCAAGGTATGTGCGAGGGCCAGAGGCGGCAGGGGTGTGAATGTGAAGAAGAAGAAGGAACATACTAATAATGATAACAAGGCGAACAATACGAATATAAAGCAAACGAGAGGGCAAATAACCCTAAGGGATCCCATGACACCAGCCATGATATACACACGCCCTTACTACTTGGGAGCAATCAGATGCCGAGAACTACAGCTACTCCCGTGCCTCTCCCAGGGCACGTTTTGACCAGCATGTCGAGGCGCATCAGCCCCGCCGGCGACGAGGACTATCCAGAACGAGTCCCCCTCTGACTAGTAATTCATCGCACCCATCTTCGACGCCCTCGAATCGCTGTGGCTCCAGGCACCTTCTTTTTGATTTCTGAAACCCTGTATCTTCAAATGGTGCCGTCCCACTTCTACATACTTCCGCCGCCTTCGGCCAGTCATCCGCCAACTCCCGCTAGCGGACCCACCGTCATTTTACTTCCGCTAGCCTTCCGCAGAGGGCGAGCATGCGCCGAAGGCCAGAGGAGGGAAGAAAAACGAGGATGATGACCAACACTGAGAGCGAAAATGTTGGTACCGAACTTGGTCACCGTCCATCCCGGTCACCGTGATTCGCGGACCATCCTCGCGAACCAGCGACGGCCAGCATGAACCATGACCAATACCAGCGTCGACAAGATCCCACGACATCAGACTAATTATCGCCACCCTAATTAGTCGACGCCCCCTCCTCGGTCTGGCCCCAGACGCCACCTGGCCGATTCCGGAAACCCTACATCCAATACTGCTGCAGTATTGCGTCGGTCTCCTTTCTTTTCTCCACCGACAGCAATCAAGAAAGGAAGAACACGATATCCGCTTCCCCCTCAGGAGTGCAATCCCGGTCGGTTCACGGAGAGAAGCGAGCCCTGCGAGACACGTGCCCCACCACTCAGAGAACAAACAAATCACATCGCGATGGGAGGAGCTCAGTGGCAATCTGAGCGGTCGCAGCTGGGGCCAGGCAACCAGATCCCGCGGCGTCGTGGTCATGGTCATCGTGTTGCTTCCCTCGAGCGAGGCCCATTCTGGAGCCCCACCTGGGCCACCCCCAGGACCCTCAGTCGGCTTCTTCCGGGCTGCGGCAACCACCCCGGCGCAGGCCCAGGGCCTCGCCGAGCCAAGGCCAGTCCCCACGCCGCACTCCTTGCAAGGCCCCCGGAAGAGGATCCTCCTCCCTCCATCGATCCCTCCTCCTCTTCCCTCCCTCCTCCTCCTCCCCCCCCTCCTCCCTCCTCCCTCCACCCTCCTCCTCCCCTCCTCTTCCTCCTGCTCCTCTTCCTACTCCTCCTCCTCCTCCTCCTCCTCCTCCTCCTCCTACTCTCCTCCTCCTCTCATCCTCCTCCTCCTCCTCGCTTTCCTCCTCCTCCTCCTCCTCCTCCTCCTCCTCCTCCTCCTCCTCCTCCTCCTCCTCCTCCTCCTCCTCTTCCTCACCATTCCTCATCCCGCATCCCTCTCCCTCCTCCTCCTCCTCCTCCTCGCCTTCCGCCCCTCCTTCCATCCCCCTTGCCTCCCAGCCTCCCGCCCTCATTCCCTATAATCCGCCGACCCTGTCGGCGTGTGCGAGGGGTCTGTCTGTTCCAGTCGTCGTCTCCGTCAGTCGTCGTCTCCGTCGTCCCCTTTCCCTGCACCCTCCTCTCCTCAAGCCTGTCAGCGAGAGAGAAAACTGGCAATGTCGTAATCGAATCGAAGGGAAGCCCCTTCTCGTTGATCCCTTCCCCAGGGGGGGGGGTCCCGGGGGGGTGGAGGGGGGGTCCTGGGGGGGTGGAGGGGGGGGGGTGGGGGGGGGGGGGTCCCGGAAGAGGTGGGGGGGGGTGGGGGGGCAGATTAGTTTTCCTCGGGCGGCCTCGAAACCTCGAAAACACTCCAAATGAGGTCCGAATGCCCAAGATGGCCCCCGAGACGGCCCAAGAGTGCCCCGAGTCGCCTGAGAAGCTCTCAGGAAGACCCCAGAGGCCCCTAAGAAACCCCCCAAGAGGCCCCAAGAGACCCCCAAGAGGCCCCACGAGACCTCCAAGAGACCCCCAGGAAGCCCCAAGAGGACCCCACGAGGCTCCCAAACGGCCCCGAAGAGCTTCCCAAGAGGCCCCCGAACTACCCCCAAGAGGCCCCCGAGAGCGCTCGTCGTCGTCGTCGTCGTCGTCGTCGTCATCGTCGTCGTCGTCGTCGTCGTCGTCGTCGTCGTCGTCGTCGTCGTCGTCGTCGTCGTCGTCGTCGTCGTCGTCGTCGTCGTCTTTCAGGGTCGGCGGCACCGGCCGTAAGGCCTTCGCAATAGAGGGAGGGAGGGGACAGAGGGAAGAGGGAGAGGGAGGGAGGGAAAGGATAGAAGGAGATGGGGAAGGGTATAGCCGGCTTATCAACCCTTCCCCCCTCTCCCCTGCCGCCCTGCATGCGTTTCCAAGATTTACACATGTGTGTATGTGTCTGTGTGTGTGTGTCTGTGTGTGTACTCCAGCCGCCAGCCCTGCGGCCCCCCTGGAAACGGTGCCCCCCCCGCGCAGGCGAAGGTTCTGCAAGCAGGCGTGGCGCGGAGTGGTGGGCCCAGCTCCGGACCCCCGTGCAGCCCCCTTTGGGAGTGATGCGCAGGCCTAGGGAGAGAGACAGCGCGTCCCCTTTGGTACACCCGTCGTGATACCACGACGAGAGCCAAACGAGGAACGAAGGGGGCTTTTCTGGCTACGGTGAGCCCCGGCCACGAACAAGGTCCCCGACCCAGATCTAAAGAACGGCCCGAAAATCAGAGCCCCTCCCAAACCAAATGTGGTCATTATTTCAGCGTCTTGACCGAGTTTGGAAGCTGGAAGCGCCCTAGAGGCCTCCCAAGTAGAGTCTGAGAACATGGGGTCGGAGGATCGCGCCGCATCGCCGACGCATCGCCGATGCATCGGCGATGCATTGGCGGCGTTGGCGATGTCTCGGCGACTTTGGAGTGGAGAAGATCGGGCTCCACATCGAGCCGCATCGCTGATGCATCGGCGATGCAGCGCGATCATCCGCCTCGCCTGCTCTGACCCCATCGGGGAGGCTAGACACACGGCTGGATTCAAGCTGTGGGACATGCGGAGGCCACTGGCTAGATGCACACGTGGAGGGTCACCCCATGCCTGGCCACACGAGGGCCCAACGTTGAAGGATATGTGGCCCGTGGCCGCGCTTATATCCAGTTCTCGCCCAGGCCGGCCACGTCATGTGCAATAGCCAGATTCCTGGCATGTGGCCAGGAACTTTTGCTTCGCGTGTCGCGGCGGCGGCCCTGGCGACACTGTGGCCTTCGAGTGGATAATGTGTCGCTCCTCTCAGGTGGGCGGGAGGCTCAGGAAAGCTCGGGAAGTTGACGCTGGGGGGCCGGGATATACATATATATATATATTTCTATATATATATATATATACATAGATATGTCGGTATATACAGATATTCATATGTCCACATATATATATATGTATCGTGTCGCGCCGCAGCGTGGCGGGCCATAATCGGCGGAACGACAAGTTCCCGACCGCGCTTCCGTTTACTTCCTCTGGTAAGGCTCTGGTGGGAGGGCAGAAAGCGGACACCAGCAGCAAGAAAGCATGTGTTCCACAAAACTTGGAATTGCGTTATGGGCCAGCGTGGGCCCGCCCTGGCCTTGGGAGTCGCAAGGGGGGCGGGGGAGGGGAATGGGAAAGGGAGACATCGCGGAGCGCGCAGGAGGGAGGCGGGAAACAAAAACTGCAGGCGGCAGGCGAAACTGGAGGGCACTTTCGGGAGAGAGGGGAGGAGAGGGAAGGATGCGGCTTCCTCCATGGCCGAAGCTTCCCTCGCTCTACCGCCGCCCTCCCCCACGCCTCCCCCCACTCGTCTGTCCCCCACCCACTCCCTTCCCCCTCCTCCCACCCGCCCCCTGCCCGCCCCTGGCGCATCCCTGGCCAACCGGCACCCGACGACTCCGAATCCACCGCCTACTCCCCGCGCCGGGGGCCGTGGCCGCCCTGCGCGGCCTGGGCCCGAGACCGAGAGCGCGGCGCCCTCTGAACCCGGCCCGCAGGCAATGGCCAACTTCCGAAGTCGTCGAGGGGGTCCGCTCCCCCATGGGGCCGCCGTTCCAGCGGGACCCTCGGTGCTCGCGTCGGCTTTCGTGATGTTGCTGGGGGCGAGAGGCCGGTACCAACACCAAGACCCCGCCTGAAAGGTTTGGGGCTCTTTGCCTGCGGGAGCAGAGCGGCCCAGCGGAGCCCGCAAAGCCTGAGGTGGCTCGCATTGCTCGCCGAGTGCACAAGCCATGGGGCTCGCATGGATGAAGAAAAACAGGGGGCTCATAGCGCCTCTTTGGGCCCTAGGGCCCATGGGGCTGCCATGGCCCGCGAGGTCCGCACGGCCCAGGAACCTGACGCGGCCCTGACGACTCGGGGGCCATATGGGGCCCGCGCGGTTCGCCAGGCTCGCGCGGCGCTCTGGGCCCACGCGCACTGCATGTGGCCCAGAACAACTTTCTGGGACCTGTGGGGTTTTTGAGGCTGGCCAGGCCTGCACGGCCCACGGGCTTCGCGCGGCCTATGGAAATCCGATGGTTCATTCGAGGATATAGAGAAGGTCCGCGTTGCTCCCACGCGCGCAGAGCTGGCATTCGTTGACGCGGGACACGGTGGCCCGAAGACACGGGCGACGGCATTCAACAGAGGCTCTGGATTCTTTTCCAAAAAAGATCTTAGTGATGGTGTCGGGTTGCGCACTTGATGCCCACCCAGGTTCTCACACCTGGCTTCAACAGGCCCTCCAAGAGTAGTTCGGAGCGGCATCAACACCCTAACCCTGTGGCGCGGAGCGCCCCTGAGGCGCCGCCGGAGGCGTCGCCAGAGTGTTGAGACCGTTCTGGGCTACTCGGGGGGCCCGTTGAGGCTAGCTGAGCGACGAAAAGAAACAGGTCTTACGCGTGACCTTACGCGGTAGCTTACGCGGGCAGCCAGCGTGGCAAACCGCGTGGAGAAGAGGGTGCTCACGCGCGACCTTGCGCGGGAACCGTACGCGCAAATGTCCGTGAAAGTCGACCTCGTTCTCCTGTGTTTACCAGTTTGGGCTACTCGGGGGGGCCTGCTGAGGGCGGCCAGGACTGTATGGGAGGGCTGTTTGTGCGCAGCCCGAAGCCTCACCAGCTCCGGCCTTTTCCTGTGGCAACTCATGGTGGCCTCCCATGCTATCTTGCTGGCTCTGGCAGATCGAGGCTGATTGACGCTAGTTGACACTAATCGACGTTCATCGACGCTAGATCCGCAATTTCCCATCTATCTTTCTCATCGACTACCAGGCGGCGTGAGCCCACGTGAGCGCGTTCTGAAAGCTGAATTTCGAGGACGTACGAAGCTCCCGCGAGTTGCCATCGAACTCCCTCCCTTCCCCCTTTTGCGCCCGCTGGCCGAATACCAGTTGCTGCCAGATAGTTGAGTGCCAGCCTCTTTTGACAGGTCGAGAGCCTCATCAGAGTCGTAATCCAAGAATCCTCCTTTCACCCCCCCCCCCGTCTCCGCGGGCGGCACGGCGACCTCCCTTCCTTCCTCCTTTTGCCCTCCCTCCTTCCTTCCTTCCTCCCTCCCTCCCTCCTTCCTCCGGGAGTTGCCACCGAACTCCCTCCCTTCCTCCGTTTGCCCCCCCCGTCTCCGCGGGCGGCACGGCGACCTTCAGGGCCTGCAGCGCGCGCCCGGACAGGTCGCCGGCGGACGGGCCCTCCGCGTCGAAGAGCTGCTGCGACATGGGGCCGGGACCTGCGGGCCGGGCCCCGCGCGGCGAGGCACGAGTCGGAGGTAGGAGTGCCCTCGGGTCGCTTGTTGTCCCCGGTTTCTCGGGCCGAACTTTCGGGCTCTTGTCCGTCCTGTGGGCTTCCCACAGTCTGGTAAGTCCCAAGGGCGAGTTCTGGGAAGCCCGAGGTCGCAGGGCGTCAGACGCGAGCCCCACGACGCGGGCTGGGCTCAGCGCGGCGAGGTACGGGTTGGAGTGCCCTCAGGTCGCTTGGTGTCCTCGGTCCTCGGGTCGAATTTTCGGAGGGGCTCCCAGCGTGCCTCCCGCGGCTCCACGGCGTTTCCCGCATGACTTCTTCGGGGCCAAGGGCGCCCCAAAACGGGCCAAGAGGGCCCTGACACAGGCACGGTGGCGGCGGCAAGGGGCGAAGGCCAACAAATAGATCCCGACCTCCGAGTGAGCGACTTCAGTGCACTGATGGCAACATCCCTGCCACCACCCCGGGAATCGGACCCCTCTCCTCAGGCCCCCCTCCTCCTCTCAGGGACCCCCCACGTCCCCGGCGAGGACCCCTTGCCAAAAGTCAGGAAGGGGGGGTCGAGCTCCCCCTACTCCTCCCGCAGCAGGCAGACAATGGCAAACGAAGTTGACGACGAAGACGACGACGATGATGATGACGACGACGTCGCAGTCGCAGTCGCCGTCGCCGTCGCCGTCGCCGTCGCCGCCACCGCGCGGCCGCTGTCGTCGTCGTCGTCGTCGTCGCCGTCGTCGTCGTCGTCGCCGTCGTCGTCGTCGTCGTCGTCGTCGTCGGCGGCGTCGTCGTCATCGTTGTCGTCGTCGTCATCGTCGTCGTCGTCGGCGGCGTCGTCGTCGTCGGCGAGTCAGTCGATCGGGCGAGACATGTCGTCGCTCGCCTTCGCTAGCGCAGTCCCCGTCGTCATGATCGTCGTCGTCGTTGGCGGACCGGTCGGTCGGTCGAGCAGGACACGTCGTCGTTCGCCGTCGCCATCGCCGTCGCCGTCGTCGTGTGCGGGTTGGTCGGTCGGGCGGGGCACGTGGTCCGTCGCCGTTGCTAAAGCAGTCGCCGTCGTCGTTATCGTCGTGGTCGTCGTCGTCGTCGTTGGCGGCGGCGGCGGGTCGGTCGGTCGGTCGGGCAGGACACGTCGTCGTTCGCCGTTGCCATCGCAATCGCTATCGCGATCCCGCCCCCGACATGTCATCTTCGAAGGGGGGAGACGGGGGGATTACGATTCACCGCCGCCACCCAGGACTTTCGATGCGTGAGGTTTCGTACCCCCCCTGACATCTTCGCAGCGTCCTCAGAAGACGCTGCTTCGAACCTCCTCTGTGGGGGAGGGGGAAGAGGGAGATGGAGGTGGAGGAGGAGGTGGAGGAGGTGGAGGGCATATACGACATCTATGCGAGCCGAAGAAATGTTATATTATTGCGCTTGAGCTGAGCACTTTTTTGTCATCGTACTTGAGACGAGCATCCTTGCCACTGCAGCGCATGATTGCGCATACTTTGCATGGGGACGAGGAGGTGGAGGGGTAGTTCTGACATCTGTCCAGGTCCGCTGAGACACCTTGCCTCTTCTTTGAGGAGCCTGGCGCGAACCTCCTGCCGACGAGCATTGTGCGAAGACAACGGCTGAGGCGGAGGGGGAGTGGGAGAAGCGAGGGGGAGGAGGGCGAGCTGGGTGCGCTCGGCCCATATCTGACATCCTACCCCTCCCACCCATCCCTTCCCGTTGCGCTCATTTTTCCTCTATCCACCGGCGCGTGTCACAGCAGGCCTGGAGTTCCAAAAAAGACCCCATCGTGTTATGCGCCGCAGTCGGAAAAGGGTGGCTGCGCACATTGAGGGAGGATGGAGGTGGAGAGGAGGGGGAGGCGAATGCGGATGGGGGCGCGGAGGAAGGCTTGGGGAGGTTTTCGGGGATGGGGTGATCGGACGGCCGGCCAACCATTTTCGGATGCTTCTGGAGGGGCAGGGGGGCGAGTGGGAGAAGAGGATCGGCCAGGACGAGGAGGATAGGAAGGAGGAGGAGGACGACGATGACGAAGGGGGAACTCAGGAATGGAATCTAGAGGTCTGGCTCTTTCGGCCGGGTCTGAAGGAGAAGGCGGAGAAGACGAGTGTAAAGGAAAGGAGGTAGCGGGGGAAGAGGAGGAGAAGGGTAGGTAGGGGGTTTTGGGGGGGGGTAGCCTCAACAGGCAAGGAGAGAAGGGTGGGTGGGTGGGTGGGGGGGGTGAGGGGGTGAGGAATAATGAAGGAGAAGAGGGCCGACGTCATGCAAGAACCATGATGGGGGACTACTCGGAAAGCTTCCGGGGGAAGTCCCAAACAACCCTGGTGACCACACCATCCAGAAGAGTCGGGCGTGAATGATGCGTGGTGTGCGAACGGTCTGGGAACCTGCTGCCTTGATTGCCAAGGACCTCGTGGGTCCCAAGACCGTCCGTTGGACGGACTGTCCAGTGAGGTCCCTAGGATTTCGAGGTCATAGGACCATCTGTCACCAGACGGTCTCGGACTCCCTCGCACGTAGCTCGTTATGTAGTCCACAATCACCTAACCCTGCCGGCTGTAGCGTCTGCACGCGAGCAGAGCGTGCTGAAAATACCAGAAAAGCCCTCCCTCCAAACTCCCTCTTCATAGGTCCCTACACGGATTCATTCCCACTGCGGGAAGCGGCCCGTTGGGAGACAACCGTTTGAAGATCCTGAAGAGTGCCAAAACACCACTCTCGGGACTTCATCGCCACGAATAAAACTTACTGTTGCGTCGTGATGATCCTGAATCGTACCAGAGAGCATTCCTGGGACTTTGGCACCGCGACTCAACGTAACTGTTGCGCACTGATAAGCATGAACCGCTCTAAAACATTGTGTTTGGTACGTTCACCATGGAAACCCGTGATACTCTTACAACATATAATCACACATGCGTGCGGCACTAAAACCAGAAGCAAGCATGTTGGAACAGAACCGCCCTTGATCTGTGAAGCTCTTGCAAGCGTTCGAAACGAATGTACGCGGCGCCAGCGCGAGAACAAACATTTGAAAATGGCCCACCCTTAATCCGTGAAGCTCTGGCGACTAGTTAAAAACAAATGTGCGCGGCGGTAAAGCGAGAGTCACAGTTTGGAAGCGGCCCGCCCTTCATGTGTATTACTGTTGCCAAGTTTCAAACTTCAGGATCATAAATGGTAAAGAAGCCCCGGGCGAAACGCCCAATCCGTCGCTCCGACCGGCCTCGGAGTGCGACAGAAGCTGCGAGGCACGCACACCTCGAGGCCCGTTGGCCTGCTCGCACTCCGTCCTCGCCCTCGATCTCGTCGTTCTCCTCGTGCTCCTTCTGCTCCTGCTCCGGTAAGGCTTCGGACTACGCATTGACAGCCGCCCCAGGTAGCCAGCTGGGATCTCTGGGGCAGGCACGGGCCTGTGCGCTGCCGGGCGAGCGAACGGAGCGGGGATGGAGTCGTGAAAATGCGAACGCGACAGATGGCACGTCTGGGGCCCCATTAAGACCCAATTAATAAGAACGGATGCTGGCAAAGACGAAGGTAATCGCGATGACCTCGCCTGAAGGAAGGCCCCAAGCAGAGTAGGTTGGTACATGTAGGAAAAGGGGCTTAGAAGCCCCGTCGACGCCAGACTACATGCGACGAGCACCGCCGTACCTCTGACCCACAACGATGATTGAAGGCAATCAATTGCCCAGCAAAACTACACCTGTAACCAAAGACGGTGGTTAGAGGTCCCAGTCAGCGCAACAAATACCTGTGATGAACACCGCCGCACCCGTGAACCAGCATTACGGCATTACGGCAGAAGCTCCCCGTCGGCGCAAGAATACCTGTGACGAGCACCAACTGTGGGAAGAGGAGCCACGCAGAAATAGACATTCTCATTCCCATGGTCTCAAAACTTTGCAACTTTTTGATTTTAAAGGGAATAAGCCTTTCGGTGTCTTGGGAAGGAGAGAGCGGATGTCTGTCCCCTCGCGGGTGGGGGAGGGCGGGGGCCAAAGCGTCCATGTGACCTCTACCCTCCTCCTGCTCCTCCTCCTCCTCCTGCTCCTCCTCCTGCTCCTCCTCCTGCTCCTCCTCCTGCTCCTCCTCCTGCTCCTCCGACCTCTTCCTCCTCCTCCTCCTCCTGCTCCTCCTCCTCCTGCTCCTCCTCCTCCTCCTCCTCCTCCTTCTCCTCCAACCACCTCCAACCTCCTCCAAGCTCTTCCAAGCTATTCCAAGCTCCTCCAACCTCCTCCTCCTCCTCCTCCTCCTCCTCCTCCTCCTCCTCCTCCTCCTCCTCCGCCACTCTCTCTCTTGTGGCTGCCCCTCCCTCTGCCCCGCCACCCCACCCTCCACCCTGCTATGGAAGCGTGCTGCACCCAGCGCTATGCCACGCGTCGCCTCCAGGGGCTGCGCCGTCGATTGCGCCGTCGGCTTGGCGCGCCGCAGGCCGAGGCTCGGGCCATGAGTTCGGGCCGCAGGCCCGGGCCGCTGGAGCTCGGCGCGGCCTGGTGCCGGCTTCGCCCGCGGCTTGGCCCTGACGGCCGCCGAGGCCCGAGACGGCCCTGATGCCGGTTGCGCCCTCGGCCACCGAAGCTTGCGGCGGCCTGCTGATGGGCGCGGCTAGTCTGGTCCAGTACTCACGTGCGTAGCCCCTGGCAGCCCCGGTGCGCAACACACAACACGTGGCGTGCCGACACGGACCTCAACACGTGGACTGAACAACGTAGGTCTGCCGCTATACGTTCGCCAAAACGTGGGCCGACACGTGCTGAGCCAACACGCAGCATGTTGACACGGACGTTGTGAACACGCTACGTCTTCGGTTTCGAAACGGGCGTATCAGGGCAGCTAAGTGCTAAGTCGTAGCCTTGTCTCTAGCAGGGGGGTGTAGTGACGAAGCTGCGTCCAGAAATCTGCCCGATTGTGACCGAAACTGGGGCCCGACATTTTTCGAACGTGCCCGTGTGTGAACCGATTTGGTCGACCAATTACGACTCAATTTCG